CGAGCGCAGCACGGCCGGGACGAGCGGTTCACGGAGCTTTTCCGGGCCCAAGAGGGCCTCAAGACGGGCCAAGAAGCCCCCAAGAGGCCTCCAAGACGGCCCACGAAGGCCCCGAGACGCCAAACGACCGCTCCAAGACGCCCAAGATGGCCCCAAGACGGGCCAAGAGGTCTCCAAGACGGCCCCCGAGGTCCCAAACAAGCCTCCCAAGAGGGCCCCAAGAGTCTAAAATTGTTGATTTTCCATAGTGTTTTTCTATGTTTTTTGCTTTTCCGCCTTTTCGGCTTCCCGACGCTCCAAGACGGCCAAAGAGGCCCCAAAGACAGCCCCAAGATGGCCCAAGAGGCCCCCAAGACGGCCTCCAGACGGCCCAAGACGGCCCCAACACGGCCCAAGAGGTCCCCAAGACGGCCCAAGAGGGCTCCAAGACGGCACCAAGAGGGGCCCAAGAGGGCGACCAAACATGTTGAAACTCTAGCTTTCTGCCCCCAGGAGCCCCAGGGGGCCCCAAGAGTGCCCCAAGAGGCCCCCAGAGGCCCTCACGAGGCCGCCCAGACGCCCCAAGGAACCCCCAAGAAGCACCCCAGAGGCTCCGAAACGGCCCCCAAGTGGCTCCAAAACTCGCTTCCAGAGGCCCCCGAGAAGCGATCCGCGAGATCCCGATACACATACAAGAAGCCTCTCACCCATAACCCATAACCCAGAGCCGTTTCTCCGTGTCCCCCTTCTCCTCCTCCTCCTTTTCCTCCACCTGGGCCCCCAAGTGGTTCCAAACTGCCTGCCATAGGCCCCCGAGAGGCGTGCCGCGAGATCCCGATACACATACAAGACGCCTCTAACCCATAACCCATAACCCAGAGCCGTTTCTCCGTGTCCCCCTTCTCCTCCTCCTCCTTTTCCTCCACCTGGGCCCCCAAGTGGTTCCAAACTGCCTGCCATAGGCCCCCGAGAGGCGTGCCGCGAGATCCCGATACACATACAAGACGCCTCTAACCCATAACCCATAACCCAGAGCCGTTTCTCCGTGCCCCCCTTCCTCCTCCTCCTCCTTTTCCTCCACCTGGGCCCCCAAGTGGTTCCAAACTGCCTGCCATAGGCCCCCGAGAGGCGTGCCGCGAGATCCCGATACACATACAAGAAGCCTCTATCCCATACTCCACCTCATCCCTCATCCTCCTCCACATCCTCCTCGTCTCCCTCCTCGTCTTCCCCCCCCCCCACCTCATCCTCATCCTCCACAACCTCTTCCTCCGCCTCCTCCTCCTCGATTCTTCTCCCTCCCATCCTCCGCCTCACCCCCCATCTTTCTCTCCCCGCCCGATTGGTCATCGTTTGCATGGCTTGCACTTCAGGGTGCCCTTCTTTGCGTCGCGCGCGACATTGGGAGGGTCAGGGAACGCCGACTTCGGCAGTTTTCTCTTGCACGCGCCGCTGCACTGATATCCGACGCAACTGCGCGCTGTGAACCCGAGTTTCTCGCAGCCTCTGCACACCACTTTGGTTCCCTTCGCCTTTCGATGATCTTCCACGCGCCCCTGCTTCAAATGTTTCGTGTCCGAGAACGCTCCTCCGCACGCCGCGCACGTCAGCGTCTTCGCGCCCGCCCCGGCTGTCCGCGCGCGAGTCGCTGCCTCCGCACTGCCCCGCCGCACCTCGCCCTCTCGCGCCTCCGCGCATTCCCGACGGAGCCCGTCACCCGCTGCAGGGTTCCCGGAGAACGCCGACTTCGGTAGTCTTCTCTAGCACGCGCCGCTGCACTGATACGCCTGGCAACTGCGCGCTGTGAACCCGAGTTCCTTGCAGCCTCCGCACACCACCTTGGCTCCTTTCGCCCTTCGATGACCTTCCACTTGCCCCTGCTTCAAATGTTTCGTGTCCGAAAACTCTTCCCCGCACGCCGCGCAAGTTAGCGGTTTTGCTTCCGCCTCTGCTTTTCGCCTGCGATTCAACTCGTTGCCCCCGCCCTTCGCGTCGCGCGCGCACGCCCTGCAAAGCTTCTCCCCCGCACCCTTGGAGTCGCACTGGTTCGCCGCCACTTCCGCCTCCGCCTTCAAGAAATTCATGCACTTCGCGCACCGAATCTTGAATTTATCCTGCACCTTCTCCTGCCACGCTCCCGACTCCTTCCGTGACTTCCGCGCCTTCGCAGGTCCCGCGCATCTCTCGCACTTGCTCGTCCTTACGCACACTCGCCCCCCGCGAGCCTCGCTCTCTGGCGTCCTCGGGCCCATCGCGGCCCACGTCTTGCATTCGGTACACCACTTCTCGCCTGCCTCCTTCCACTCTTCCGTGCAATCTCGACAGAAACTCGGCCCCTCCTTTTCCTTGAACTCTGTGGGCGCGAAATCCGCTTTCTCCTTCAAGGTACTACATTTACTGCACATCTTGCGGGGCATCAACTCTGCCTCTATGTCCGCCCACGGCACCTCCTCCCCGCGCAACTTGCCCAGCAGATACTTCGCCCCTTCCATCTCTCCTTGCGTATACGGCTTCAACTCAAACGGGCGATATATCAGCAACCCTCTACGGGTCTTCACGCGGGTGATGGCCACGTAACTCGACATCCAACTCACATTTCGACCCTCCTGCAAATCTGCGATGACGGCGTCCAGGGATCGGCCCTGCGCCGCGTGCGCCGCGCTTGCCAGGCCTGGCGATATCAGAAACTGCTTCCGCCGAACCCCCAACACGGGCTTCTTTCGGTACGCGTCCAAGAACCAGACTCGCTGTCTCGGCGCAATCGGATACAACCCAGGCCCCGGCATGCTCTTCAGCGCCCACGCGTCCGTATGAAAGTCGAGCACGATCTGCCGCGGCATCCTTCGCAGCGTGACTTCTGCAGCGTCCGCGACGGCACCCTCGTCCTCGTCGACTACCCATGAGTGAATCGTCGCGTGGCAGCCGCGGAGCAGTTGTTTCTCTCCCCTATCCAAATGATCCGTCAGAACAACGGGCATGCCCGCCGCCAGCGGCAGCCACCCTGGCGTATCTGCGCATGCTTTATCATGGTATCCCAGCCACCGGATCTTGTCAGAAGACGTGTATGGCCGTTTTTGGAGGGATCCATGACGCGCCGCGTCCCTCGCGTACACCCACGAAATTTGCTTCCCCTCGCTCGCGACCCAGTCCACGGCGCGCTGACGTGCGACTTTACATTTTAGATCCTGGTTCGGGTAAATCGCGGTCGCCCTTACGAACTCCGGCAATAAGAACCTCTCGTCATCGGGCCCCGTTGCGACCAACTGCCGTCTCCGGCGCTCTGCTGCACAACGCCCGCACTCCTGCGCGTTGTCTTTGGCAGTGGCCTCTGCGTTCTTCGCACAGTGGTCCGACCCGCACGTGGGCCCACACCCCACCCACGACACGGCTACGTCCGTCGGTAGGCCGCGCAGAAACTGGTGCGTCCGTTCGCTCAGGTCCCCGCGCCGGAACTCGTCCTGGACACTCAGGAACCACTCGTCATGACCTTCCAACCGCTTGCACTCCACTAGCTCGGTCATTCCTGCTACGGACCCGCGACCCTCGCCCCAGAAAATGCAATGCCCATGGTCCTCTCCCGCGCTTGGTGCGTACTGCCTTGCCTTGCGAACCCACGACGTCGGGATGGCATTCAAGGGCGTCCCCCCCGGCCGCTCGAGCTGGTAGAAATCCCCACAAAACAACACATTCACCCCTCCAAAAAGCCTGTCCACCCCTTCGGCGTCTACCTTCCCCTGCCGCGCCGCCGACATGACCGACCGCAAATGCGCGTCCAACTCCCGACCGCTACCGAAACGGCTCGAAGACATTCCCGAGCCCAACCTGGCTCCATTATGCCTCTCAGATGGCCCCAGATGAGACCACGACCGCCCGCGGTGTCGCCGTCCGCTCGGACCCCCCCGCGGAACTGCCCGAGACCCTCTGGCGGTGGCGGCGAACAGACACCAAACAAATATCACTCGCCTTCTCAACCCTTCGCAGCTTCTACTACCCCCAGATTGGCATAAACAAGGGGTCGGCGGTGTGGCGTAAGCCTAAGAATCAACCTGACTGTTGCGGCGTGACGATCCTCAATCGTGCCAGAACACACTTTCTGGAATGTCAACGCTGTGAATCAACGTAAGTGTTGCGCCTGGACAATCCTGAATCGCTCCAAAACATCACTTCCGGTACGTCAACCATGCGAACGCGCGAAATCCTTGCAATTTTGTGAAATGAATGTGCGCGGCGCTACAGCGAGAGCCACGTTTTGACAAGGAACCGCCCTCAGTCTTTGAAACATTTCCATCTGTTTAACACGACTGTGCGCGGCGCTGCGGCGAGAGCCACACTTTGAAAAGGAACCGCCATCAATCCCTGAAACTCCTCCGAACTTCCGAAACGATTTTTCGTAGCGCTAAAGCGAGCCACATATAATTATTGAAAACGACCAGCCCTCAATATCCCTGAAACTCTTGCAAGTATTCAACACAACTTTGCGCGGCGCTAAGGCGAGAGCCACATGTTGAGAACGAACCGCCCAAAATCTTGAAACTCATGCAAGGTCTGAAAGAAGTGTGCGCGGCGCTAAAACGAGAGCCAAATTTTGAAAACGGCCCGCCCTCAATCCTTGAAACTCTTGCATGTTGAAGCGAATGTGCGCGGCGCGAAAACGAGAGCCACATTTTGAAAACCACCCGCTCTCAGTCCTTCAAACTCTTGCAACTTGCTTTAACGAATGTGCGCGGCGCGAAGGCGAGAGCCACATATTGAAAACCACCCGCCCTCCATCTGCGAAGCTGTTGCCATTTCCGAGCTTCAGGATCATGAATAGCGAGGGAGCCTCAGGCGAAACGCCTGGCCCGCCTTTTCGACCGGCCTGGGGGTGCGACAGAAAGAAATTACTCATTAGGAGAAGGAATGGAGGTGGTGGAGGAGGAGGAAGAGGAGGAGGAGGAGGAGGAGGAGGTGGTGGAGGAGGAGGAGGAGGAAGAGGAGGAGGAGGAGGAGGAGGAGGAGGAGGAAGAGAGCGCAGCCGAAGCCTCCGAGGCAGCGGAGCAACGTGCACCTCAGGCGGCCCTGCTCGGCGACCCGCGCGGCGCAGCAGGCCGCGGCGGCCCTCCGCACGAGACGCTGCCACCTCCACGGCGCTTCGGGGGGGCCCCGACCCCGGCGGCTGCCTTCGGCGGCCCTCGGCCGGGAGGACACCGACTGGCACCCCTCGCACCGACCCCGGCCAGGACGGGACGCCAGGCCAGGCCGGGACGCCAGGCCTGCGGCGCAAAAGGAGCGGCAGAGCGCGCCGCGGGGAGCGGGCGCCGCCGCCGAGCGGTGCCCCCGTGGGAGGACGTTGTGTTGCGCAAGTGCTCGAAGTGCTCCTCCTCCTCCTCCTCCTCCTCCTCCTCCTCCTCCTCCTCCTCCTCCTCCTCCTCCTCCTCCTCCTCCTCCTCCTCCTCTCCTCCTCCTCCTCCTCCTCCTCCTCCTCCTCCTCCTCCTCCTCCTCCTCCTCCTCCTCCTCCTCCTCCTCCTCCTCCTCCTCCTCCTCCTCCTCCACGGGCGTCCAGGGGCCCCAGGCACTCTGGGTGCCCCCGGTGACAGCTGGGGGCCTCCAGGGGGCCGGGGGCCTCTCTGGGGGGGCCCTCGGAGGCCTTCCGCCCGAGGCGTGCGGGGGAGACCCTCTGTGGAGGAGGGAGGAGGGTTTGCCCCGCCAGGGTGGGTGCGGGTGCACCAGGTCGGCGTCCCCCAGGCGGCGGGCGCAGGTCGGCGGCCCTCGGCGGCCTTCCGCGGCCCTCGGGGGGCCTCGGCGGCCTCCCTGGGAGCGCTCGACCGCTCCTCCCCTGCTGGATGACCGTGACCTTTCGTCGAGGCCGGCGCTTCTCGTCTAGCGTAGGAGCATGGTCGAGTATTTCTCCTCCTCCTCGTCCTCCCCGTCCGCTTGCGCCCCTCTCAGAGATCAACCACTGGACCCGTCCGGCAGTACTGGTTGACCCAAATTTCGCGGGGAACCCCATCGTGTCGACGGAGAGGCCTCGGAGGGGCAAAAGGGGTCAAGAAACGTCCAGCGATAATGTCGACCGCCCGGTCTTAAACATCAATGCACTCGCTCTTCTCCCATCCACCTGCGACAACAACAAGGTACGAACATCACCCGCGAGCCCCCGGGCTCCTTCCTCCCAAGGTACAAACCCTGCCCGCAGGCCCCGTTGACCAAGTTCTTTGCCCTCCCCAAAGAACAAAGAACCCAGCCGGAAAAAACAAGGAAAAGATATCTCCAGCATTCCTTCGGTACCCTTGAGGCAAACAAAGCATGCCAGGGAGCTGAAACCATGTGCGCGCTAGCGCGCCTCCGACTCTCGAGGATGCCCTAGGAATCCCAGGAATCCTAGGAATCTTCAGGATTCCTTAGAAATCCCCAGGGATATGTAGGAATCTTTAACAATCCCTACGAATCTACAGGGCTTCTAAGGATCCCTATGAATCTGTAGGGATTCGTAAAAATCCCTAGGACCCTGTAGGAATTCTTAGGAAACCCTGGGAATCCTCAGGGATTCGTAGGAATCACTCGGAATCCGTACGGATTCCTATGAATCTCTAGGAATCTGTAAGGATTCTGCGAAATCCCTGGGAATCTGTTGAGATCGTGAGAATCCCTGAGAATGTGTAGGAATCCTGACGGATCCCTAGGAACATGGAGGGATTATTATGGATCCCTACGAATATGAAGGGATTTTCTAGCAACCCATAGGAATCTGGAAGGGGTCTTAGGAATCATTAAGCTTGAGAATCCCAAGGGATATGTTAGGATCGGTAGAATCCCTAGGGGATCCTGAGAATCATTATGGAATTCTAAGGACGCCTAGGGAATCCTCATAATCATGACAGAGAATCCTACAAATCCTGAGAGAATCTTAGAAATCTGGACGGAATCCTAGGAATCCCTAAGGAATCCTAAGAATTCATCGTAAATCTTAGGATATCTCTTGGGGATCCTAGGAATCACTATGGAATCACAGCAACTTCGAAGGATTCCTCGGAATCCGTATGGACTCCTAAGAATCCATCAGAAATCGTCGGACTCCCTAGGGAATCCTTAGTGCATCGTAGGAATACATAGGGAATCACAAAAATTCCACATGAATCCTGAGAATCCCTAGGGAATCGTAGGAATCCTAGGAAACCCCTAGAAAAGACACCTTCTGCATTCCTTCGGGAACCTTGAGGCAACCAACGCATTCCAGGGGGCTGAAGCCATGTGCGCGCTAGCGCACCTCCGATTCCCTAGGATTCCCTAGGGTTCCCAAGGAATCACTCTGACTTCCCTGGAATCATTAGGGAACCCTAGGAATCCGATGACTCCTGAGGAATCCCTAGGGATCCATATGAATCCCGCGGGAATCCTAGGCAACCCTCGAATCGATAGGGATGCCGCGGGAATCCTAGGAACCCCTTAGGAATCCATAGGAAGCCCTAGGGGATCCTAGGAATCCCTATGGAATCCTAGGAATCCGTAGGAATCCTAGCGAATCCCTAGGAGTCCATAGTAATCCCAAGGGCATCCTGAGAATCTGAAGGAATCCTAGGGATCCGAGGGAATCCATAGAAATCCCTAGGAAATCCTAGGAATCCATGGGAATTCCTAGGAATACATAGCAATCGCTGGGGAATCTTAGGAATCCTAGGAATCCTAAGGAATCCCTAGGGAACCCATCGGAATCCATCGGGAATCGTCAGAATCCTATGGATCCTAAGGAATCCTCGGAGATCCATGGGACTCCGTGGGGAATATTAGAAATCTCAGGGAATCCATAAGAATCCCTCGGGAATCCGAGGACTCCATCGGAATCCCTAGGGAATCCTAGGAATCCATAGGAATCCTTAGGAAATACATAGGAATCCCTAGGGAATCCTGGGACTCCATAGGAATCCCTAGGGAATCCTAGGAATCCCTGAGGAGACATCACCCGAGCAATACCCGTCACCTTCCCGTGCAAGCACACACATACCCCAAACCCTCGGTATCCGCCCTCTTCGTCGTCGATCATACCTCCTTGGGGGCGTATCTTCTTACCTGCCACGTGTAACTGGCAGCCCCCATAACAGGGGGAGGAGGGAAGGGAAGACAAAGAGAGACAGAGGGATAGAGAACGTCAGAGATCAGCTGGAGGGGGAATATGAGCGGAAAAAAAAAAAAAAAAAAAAAAAAAAAAAAAAAAAAAAAAAAAAAAAAAAAAAAAAAAAAAAAAAAAAAAAAAAAAAAAAAAAAAAAAAAACGGCAGAACCAAACGGGCGGGCGGACCCTGCCCTGCGGGTCGACCGGGCGGGCCCATACGGCTGGGTCGAGGGGGCGGGTCGCTGAAGCGTCAGTCTTGCGTGAATCGCGAAGAGGCCTCTACCGACAGCGCGATTCCCAAGCAAATCGAATGGAAATCCAGATCGAGATCGTGATTCATGGGCGTTGGGTGCGAGACGATTATATAAATTGGGAGGAAATGCCACGCGAGAGCCCGATTCCTACATGAATTATGAAAACTCCCGCGCGCGAGCGCGATTTTGAATTGTGATGACATCTGAGGCGGGGGCCGTTGTCGTTGTCAACTGGGGGGGGCCAGGGAGGCGTTCTTAGCCTCAAGATTTCCCCTCGTTCAAAACAAGGTGGAAGACCCAGAAGTAGCTCTTTTGTTAAAGGGACACCAGGTGCACCGAAGGGTGGGATCAACCATATTGCTTTGAAGAAAACAAAAAATCAATTACTCCGACGGAAGGACCCCACAAGAAAATCTGTTTTGCGTGCCCTTCTCCCTTTCCTCCTGGCCATGGCAAACACCCTCCTCTCGCCCTTTCCTCTGCCCTCTCTTTTCCCTCCTTCTTCTATTTCTCCGTTCCCCCTCCGTCTACCCCCCCCTCCTCCGTCTCCACCTCCTCCTTATCATCGCCCTCCCCCATACCCTCCCCCTCCTCATCTTCCTCCTGCCGCTTCTCTACGTGCACCTCCCCCCCCCCCTGGGCGGGGCAAGCAAGTCGATGTTCTTCGGCGCCGTCGCCGCCTCGGCCAGCACTGGACTGGCGCCTTCTCTGATGGCCGCGTCGCGCAGCCGTTGGGACAACCCCGCGGGCCAGGCTGTCGGGGCAACCCCGCGAGCCGCTGGCGCGCAAGACCACCAAACCGCTGGGACAACCCCGCGGGCTTCGAGCGGGGCGCAGCCACGCTCAGGCGGGAGGCGGCACGAAGCCCAGCTTTGCCGCGAGCTGCCCCGCCTCCGCCCTGGACAAAACCGCTCTCCTGTCGAACTCCAGCAGCGCCTTCCGCGAGGACGCCGGCGGCCCTCGCTCCAGGAACTCCCGCGGCGGCGGCCGCGGGATCAGCACGTTCCGCATGCACGTGGCGCGGGAGAACATGACGTAGAGGTGCAGCCACCACTGCTCATCCGACATGCCCGTGCGGCCAGCGTCCTCGTCTCTCGCGCAGTCGACGGTGACGCCCTTGCGCAGCGTCTGGCCCTGCGACAGCGTGGAGGTCAGGTAGGACGCGTGCGTCAGGGTGAACCCCGAGCGGCGCACCTTGTGCGCCCCCGAGCTCTGCCACGTGAGCTCCCGTTCGCTGGGCCTGAACATCAGCAAGCCCCGCGCCCGCGCCCGCGCCTCGGCCTGGCAGTCGTCGCCAGCGCCCTCGGCGCCATGCAGCAGCACCTCGGCGACCTCCTGGTAGATCGGAGACTCCTTGAAGCCGTGCACCTGCAGCCAGATTCCCTGCGGTACGAAGCGGGGGCGGAAGAGCTGGCCCGGCGCGCACTCCTCGTAGTCCCGCTCGTCGTCTGCGTGAAACTCGAAAGACACGATGGTGGCCCGTTGCTCCTGCACGAGCCCCAACCTCTTCTTCGACTCTTCCTGCGCTGCCGTGAACCGCACCTCCATGCCGACGTGGGCCGGCAAGACGCCGTGGATGTCCCCCGTCTCGTGCACGTTCGGGACGTTCAGGAGGCGCCGACCCGTGTCGGGATCGCCCTGAATCGCGCTGCACTCGCCCATGGCACGCAAGAAAACGAGGGGCACGCCCAGGCGCCGCGAGTCGCGACGAGCGCGCGCGTTGATCCACCTCGCCAGCGTCTCCCAGTATACGCCCACGCCGTAGCCGAGCCGAAA